AAAGTAGACAAAAAGAAATATATATATGCAAATATCAAAGATCTAAACACAACTCCTATACAGCCCTACTCTAATACTACAAAACAACTACAAAAACACACCTTTACTACATATAAAGACCAGATTTCAAAAAACTTAATAGAAGCTACACCCAATCTACAACAAAAATTATGAAAAATATACAGGTTTCTTCACAGAAAAAAAGTATTGAATGCTAATATAAATATACAACCTAATGGCACAAACTCAATATACAACCCCACAGCCTGCTAGACAATAGTCGACACACCTCTTGATCTACAAATCTCAAATCTAATCTGGCTGTCTAAAAAAAAAGCTCTGCTGACAGCACTACTAACTCTAATTACTGCAATACTGTATGCATTTGTACTAAACATTTCTACAGATGAAAAACAACTAGCTTATGACTTTACAAACATAGTTCAAACCTCCACATACCTTGCCAACCAATTGTTATCTACAACTTTTGAAATTTACAAAGCAACTATAAAAGTAGCAATTATAAGGAAAGACCTAACAGTACAAATAACAACTACAAACATTACAATCAAACCAAACATTATAAGCACAACTATTGCTACTGAAATCAACACAAAGATGATACTGTACAACACCTACACTCCCAAACCAAACTACCATGCATTTTCCCACAATCTAAGGTGACTACTAAGGCATCTGCAAAATGCAAAAAACATAGTAGACTGGCACAACCTAAATAGAATATACCGATGAAATTTAAACTCAAAAAAGATTAACTGGGAACTTACCTTCAACTTTATAAACTATCACAACAGCCCTCTAAGCTGATATACACATCCTACTCAAACCAAAATCAAAACCTTCAAACTAAAATTAATAATGGATAAACTCCCAACACTTTTTAATTTACATATTCGATATTCAGCAAAGTACAGCAATCCATATGATCAATGATAAAACAACAATAATAACAATATCTTAAAAACTCAAATATGCTACCACTAGTCAATACACTACTACCAAACCAACC